CGTTAATTTTATCAAATACTTCAATTAATTTATCAGCTGTCAGTCTTAACCATCAGTTATAAGCTACCTTATCAATCAACTCTTATTTCATGATATAAACTAAAACAAATCCTACAATATTCTTATAACCAATTTTTTTAATTACTATGCCCGTACAACTTAATTTATATATTTTATATATATATTTCTTAATTATCAATATATTATATTTATTTTATAGCGATATTGCGCGGTCCGTATAAACACTTGTAGATGGCAATTTAATAATTTCATTTCTTATGATGTGCCGAGATTACTTAATTATTTTCTATATTTTTCTACTATTAATAACAATATTGCGCGATCCATGCTAATACACGGGAATGTAATCAATTTTATGTATGAGTGAAATATATTATATCATATGCTTATACATTTCTCAACATCATTTCTATGTATATTCTTATAACTATTACAACTTCATAATTTAAATTAATATTTATATGACAATCATTATTGAAATTCTATTTCTCTTATAAAATATAATATAATTTCTTTTTCATATATATATATATATATATATATATATATATATTATATATATATATATATATATATATATATATATATATATATATATATATATATATATATATATATAATATATATATATATATATATATTATATATATATATATATATATATATATATATATATATTAATCATAATTATATAATATTTATCTATATTTATATCAACTTTGTTTATTTATAAAATAAATGATATTTATAAAAAAGAAAAATCTTAATTGAACAGAAATAAAAAATTTATCATTTAATTTCTACCACCAACGCTTATATTATCTTTTAGAAAAGACAATAATTAAATGACAATATAAAAATATTAATTGAATGACAATAATAAATGATATTAAAATTTTAATTTATTATAAAATTATTAGTATTATTTTTATGATAAAATGTTATTAGTTATAAAAAAAATATTATAATATTTATTTTTGGCAAAAAAAAACACGGCAAAAAAAAACACGGACAATAATGATAGGTGAATACACAAATTTGATAAGATAATTTGGGTACTATAAAAATTGATTCAATCAATTAAATATCATTTTTTTAAAATTTATTTAAAACGTTATCATAAATTTGATGAAAAAATTAAATATAAAATATATATTTTTGATTGGTCGACACTATTTAATTTTTATATCTTTTATATACATTTCTTAACCATCAATATATTATATTTATTTATTGTACAACAATGTCAACGCACGAGTAGATAATATATATATATATATATATATATATATATATATATATATATATATATATATATATATATATATATATATATATATATATATATATATATATATATATATATATATATATATATATATATATATAATATATATATATATATATATATATATATATATATATATATATATATATATATATATATATATATATATATAAAGTATACTAGACCACATATTCATATATTTTTTAACATAATTTCTATGTATATCCTGACAATTACTACAATTTAATAAATTAATTAAAATTTATATGATTATCATAATAAAATACATTTTTTTATCTCTTAATTCATATAAATTTTTATATATATTTTTTAATTATAACTATCTAATATTTATTTAATATTTATATCGATTTTATTCTACTCTGCCAACGCAAGGCTGCTTTACTAATTTAATAATAAAATTAAATTAAGCCAACCCGAAACTGTAATATTTAAATATGATACAACCATCACCATTGCTTGTAAATTAAATGGATGATGATGTACAAATGGGGGAGCTAGCACCCATGTGGCCAGTTAACACATACAATCATTGAGTTATATCTTCCTAGATTAATGCTGAAAACCCCCCATCAAACAGCATATTGTACCCTTTCCACACAGTACTAGTACGAACTATCCATACACTATTTACTCCATAAATGTCAAGAGAATCAAACAAAACAACTCATGATGAGATAAGCCCATCATTTTTTGCCCCCTTTTTTATTTTCATTATGTATAAAAATCAAAAACCTAATGTTACATTTGAATGTTATTAAAATCCTAAAGCCAAGTTATACTAGATTGGACAACGCTACCATTAAAACAAATACTACCAGATTGAACAATTACAATAGATACCATTTATTGTACGGTCAGGATCTATCTGTCGGCGATTTAAGCTTCTTCACATAGACATAACCTTCAATAATTCAAAATATAAAAACAAACTTTTTTATTATTATTAATAAAAATTTGAGGTGCATGTGATTCACCTCAACAAGCGATGCTGTTATGTTGATTATTTGTCTTGAAAAACCAATACCTTGTGATCCTCAAAAAAGTTATAATAATAATAATGTAGTGCTAATAATGCGTGTATTTATATATTTATTTATTTATTACCCTATGTTTACTGTTACTACTAATTTAATATATCTACATTGCTGGACCTGTCTTAGGCATCTCTTCCACAAAACTTGAATCACATTGGTCAAGTCACTGAGATTTGTTTGGCATGCTTTCTAACTTGTAAACACTCATGCAATATCACTTCGTTTTCTGTGTCTTTAAAGGGAAAAGAATCTTGAAATTCTATAAACAGTTCTTTTCTGTTTGATCTACAATACTATATAATGGCTAGAGCTTGATAGGGAATTTGAGAGCATGTTTAACTAAGTTTTCATCAAATTTAACAAAGGTTGTCCCTCAAGTTTCTTGCCTTTTCTTCATATATTGTCTTCTTCTTCAGCAGAAAATTGTTATATACTTGAGCTTTGCCAGGTTAGTACCTATATTTCATTTCTTTACTTTCTTTTTATCGATATTTGTGTATGTGTCTGGTGTTGTCTTTGTTAGTGCTTCATAGATCCAAGATGATGTGTTATGAGTTTATATCATGTTATTTGTATGGTGAAAGTTTGTTAACTCATGCATGAGGAACATGGTTTGTTATTATGCAATGTCAATGCCTAGAATCTAGAAATTTTTTTACAAAAGCATTGCATAAAACACTCTTTCCATTTAAAACTATAATGATAATGATGTTGATTCTTCAAACATCCTTTTGTTAATTATATGAAATGAAGAGAAAAATGTTACCTTGTGATCATGTATTCAAATATTTCAATAATGGAAAAGATATATAGTTTAAAATGACATCACATTTGTGTGTGTATAAGAGAAGTTATTATATTTTTATTATTATTATGGTAGGAAAAAATGAACAGGTAAAGTTGTCGGGAGATATTTTTTATTTTTGTGATGAGTTTAATTCAAATGTGGTCCAAAGTATTGGAAGGAGACAAACTATACTAAAAGGAAGTAGATGCCATCATTTTGTACCAATGTTTTAAGAATCAGTTGGACCATTAATATTCATGTGCTTGCTTTCATAGAATCATTCTATTTTCTATATAAACAGCTTTTCATTATCTTCTCTATTCTCTTAGAGTTTTCCTCATTTATGGTTGAATATGTATGAAGGTAAACTTGGAGATAGATCCTTAATGGAGAAGCTTGTTAGGTCTTGTGACAGAGAGTATATGAGAATGGCTATGTTAAAGCATGAAGAAACTTTCAAACAACAGGTACTTCTCATTCTATTTCTTTAGATTATTCTTTCTATTTCAATTCGTAATTCAAGGTTTTTGATGTCTGGTGACTAATATTGAAGTTGCATCAGTTGTTACTGATGCAGCTTCAATCATAATCACAGACTTACGTAAATTGTATATGCAAATCATTTTTTAAACATGTGTCTGATGAATGTAATGAAAATTTTCTTATAGGTATATGAACTTCATCGATTGTATCGAATACAAAAGATAATGATGCAAAATATGGAGGCGAGGCGAGGCGTTGAAGTGAAAGAACAAGAATGGTACTTTAGAAACGCGATTAGCTTAACTCAAAATGCTAATTGTTCTAAAGATGCGCGAGGAAAAAGGACTCGAATCAAATTTGATCTCGAAAGGCCAGCTGAGGAGCACATTGCAGAATCAGATGACGACGAGGGGATAGATCTCATCGATGAGATGGAGATTGAGTTGACATTAGGCCCGTCGCGATATACCCGTAGCAAGAAAGGTGAGACACCAATAACTTCAGATTCAGGACATAGCTTATCTTCATCTTCATCTGGATCAAGTGACATAAACAAGATAAGAAGATACATGACACATCAAAAAAGAGAAGAACCAAGTGGAATTACTCGTAACACCTTTGGTATTGAAGAACAGTTAAGACAACAAGAGAGATTAAAACAGTCACCTTGGTTTTTTCAAGTGATGAATCTAAACATGACATAAGAAAAAGAAAACATGTTAATGTCAATGTGATATATTTAAATTTTTCTAGCTAACTTTTGTGAATGATGTTAGTGTTGTGTGATCGATTGTTATCAAGTTATGGTGGGGTTTGATATGTCACGCATTAAGACCACTATTTTACTTTGTGCAGATCCATTACTGTTCACATGTCACATGTCACATGTCACATGCCACTCATGTTTGTTTGGTCCACAAGGTTCTCACATTCCATGACAGTAATAGGTAGAGTTTATTAAATTCTAACTGTTTAGAGCCTATGAAAGAAGTTATTTACGGTAGGTATTTGGATTTTTCTTATAACATTGTGTAAGAGTATTGTTAGAATTGTAACTTGTCGAAAGTTGATAGACTATTTTAGACTTTTTTTTACGCGGTGAATATGTCTTTAAATATGTGTTTTTTTGGTTTTGAAGGTGATGATTTGAATTTTATTTATAGAATTTTAATGTTAGATTTGAATCATGATGTAAAAAATCAGTTTAAGAAGCGTCGTGACTAAGGTGATTTCAATCAACTTTTAAGGTGATTAGAGTCATGTCTCTTTTTTAATATAAAATCAAAACACAATGGTTATGACACACCAACAAAGAGAGAACAAAATAGTGAAGAAGATTAGGAATACCAGTGAGGAAGATTATGAATTTTGTGTGGGGAGTTTTTTGGTGAGTGTACTTGTTAAAAGTACGGTAAAATATTAAATCGAACTCTAGTATGGTTGAATGGTAGCTTTTTGGTTCGACAATTCTACATGATCTTAGCATGTCATCGAAGTCTGTTCTCATGTTGTAGTCGAAGTCTTGCAATATTGTAGTCGAAGTATGCTTAAGTATGCAGTAGTCAAAATGTTAGGATTGTTAGCATGTCGAATTGGGTCGGTTTGTTAAGCTCGATTAGGTAAGTTAGCTTGTTCCCTAAGTTAGCTTGTGTAATGGGTATGTGTATAAAAACCCAAAAGTTTAGTGTGTTAGTTTTGTTATAAATAGCATACTAGTCTCTCATCATTGTACAATGCAAATCCTAATTACTGTGAGAGAGGTTATTTGTTATTTTGTAACACTTGTAATCTTGTTTCAAGAGAAAGTAAAGAATAATAGTTTATAACCAATTTCATTGTCTCCGATTTTGCATCTTTAAGGTTTCTTGGTATTCAATAATCAATTTATATTTTGTTCTTGGCATCGTTTTTCACAATAAATTGGTGCAATGAGCGTGAAGAAGATGGAACTAACGACGTATGAGATTGAAAAGTTCACCGGAGTGAACGAGTTCGGTATGTGGCACTTAAAGGTGAAAATTCCACTAGTTCAAGAAGATTGTTTAGAAGCTTTGAAGGTAGTCGCAGCCATGGACGTTGCGTTAACGGGAAAAAATGACTATGATAGAGAAAGCCCACAGCGTCATCCTATTGAGCCTTGGTGATAAGGTTCTCTGACAGGTTTCAAAGAAGACGACAACGTCGAGTTTATGGATGAAACTCAAAAGTTTGTACATGACTAAATCGTTGGTCAATCCTCTCTACCTTAAGAAAGCTCTTATTCATTCAAGATGAGTGAAGACAAAGCCCTGGCTATGCAGTTGAATATGTTCACCAAGTTGATTCTTGATCTTGAAAATATCAATGTCAAGACCGAAGGTGAAGATAAAGCGTTGTTGTTGTTGTGTGCTTTGAAGGTACGAGAAACACAAGAAAAAGGGGGTTTGAATTAGATTTCCAGATTTAAAACTTTTTTGCTTCCCAAACAAACAAGGATGAAACAAGAACAAAAATAAATGAACACAATTATTTTTATCCTAATTCACTGCTAACCAAGTTAATTCAGTCTACCCACCAAAGTGATTTGCCTTTACCAATAAGGATGAAATACACTATAATTGAACTGATTACTGACACAAACAAAGACTATTTGTCAATATTTACAAACCACAAAGACTAACCGTCAATGTCTTCTTGAGAAATTTTGACTATACCCTAGTCTCTCAAGGAACAACCAACTCCAAAGTTGAAATACAAAGTGTGTGTACAAATATGCTTTTTAGAAAGAAGATTACACAAGTTGAAATATAAATAAATAACACAACAGTATTAATAGAAAGTTGAATAAACAAAATTTACCTGCTTGTAAGTTAGCGAACAAAAGTTCCTTGTTTTTACAAAACTTTGCACATGATATTTCAGTAGAAAGTTGAGTAGTGTTTCAATAATTTTTTTAGCATAAAGTTCTTCTTTTCCGATTCTTCCAAGTCTTCCTTTTATAACCAAAAAAGAAATCTGTTGGAGGGTAAAATATGAATAGTGAATTCCATATGTCTTCATGTGTAACGGCCATTCAGAGTGGTAGACAACATCGTACCATAGTACAGTCCTTGAGCCACAAAATCAGAGTAGTGGAATTATTTGACTTGTACCATGTACTATTCACTCACGTAAAACCTTTTGATCTTATCTTCTAATATTCAGAGGCTTTAGAATGTGTGTTGTTGAAGCAAGCTTAAAAGGACCAAAAACATCAAAGAGAGTCATTAAATCCTATTGTAGCGGTACAAATCAAATAAAAAATTGTCACCGTGCTTTATTGTTTCTAAAGGAAACGAGAAAAGAACGAATAAACCCAAAAAGAGGGGGAGAATCTAGGTATGTGGGTTGGTTATGCAAAGGGAAGATATTAACACCCTAAACATCTACGGTACTCCGCAGTAACCTCTTTGAAAATCTATGTATTTTGGCTATGAAAAATGTATACAAAAAATAAATTATGGAGATGCGAAAAGAAGCATCTTTTATAATTTTTGAACCCATCGCGGTTGTGAACCTTTAGTGCCTACGTACCACCTTCTGTGAAATAGGGGATTAAGGTACTCGTAGTTCACCTTAAAAATTTTAAAACACAAGTGTATTGGTTAATTTTAAGAGAAGAGACATCATCATCATATCCGAGTGGAAAACATACTTACTACTCACGATTATGAGAAAGGAGCATTTGCGTCATCTCAAAGTGGAGGATATAGCTTGGATTTTAATATCATTAAAGTCTCACTTAACATCCAAGTGGAAAATAGCTCACTCTACTAGATATCGTAGAAGTATAGTAGCTTGTGTCACTATAAGAATCGACAAGAGTCTAATCTTTTGAGAAAAAAGTTTTAAAGTAAAAAGCCAAAGTGACAAAATAGTTTGAATGAGGTTAATTGACTTTTAGTCTTTCAAAATATCTCAAAGTATGGTTAATTTTATTAAAGTTTGATTAAGAAAAGATTTTTGAAAATGCATGGACCTAAGTCCAAGTTTAACATGAAAGTGGTTCAAGTTAAGAAAACAAGAAGAGTTTTGAAAAGGAGGGAGAAATTTTTTGAAATTAAATAAGATAGGAAGAGATGAAGGGATTATCCTAAAGCATAAAGTAAAAGCCAAGGAAAAGAACGATCTAACCAACAAGAAGTCAACACTTAAAATAAAGGAGTCAATGTATAATTCCCATCCTTTGGATTAAAACCAAGCAAGCAAAAATACTAAACCTCTGAGAAACACTAAGCTTCAGATGAATTAAGTCTTAACAAAAATTGGGCAAATTAACGACTGTATACAGAGGAATTCTCAATCACAGACAAAGCATAAAATCAGAATAACCTGCATACAAAGAAAATCAACCCAATGCCTTGGAGTAAACCCCAAGAACTTCAGAAAAATAACAACAGAGCAACAAGGTTCCCAAGTATCAAGGCTTCTAATCCTAAGTCTGAGAGATCCACAACTCCACAATACCAAGGATAGTAATCAAGTAGTCCAAGTAACCTTAAAGTTTTAATGTTCAAGTTGATTATTAAGTGTCTTCAAAAGAAAATGAAAGCTCAAATGAGAAAAGATAAAATGACATAAAGATAAATGCTCAAGTGAACAAAAGGAAAATAGCATGAGATGTAAATACTAAAATAAATGGTACATAAAGGCACAGAATAATGGCATAAAGTAAAGTTAATTGTTAGTGAATTAGAAGTTAGAAGTCAAGTACAAAAGGTTAGTTGAACGACCATCTTGAAGCTTGCTTTTGAAAAATCATTAGAAGATTGATAAAAACCAAAGCCTCTCAACAAAAAGTTTCAATTGCTTTTTGTCAAGTATATCATTCATTTCAAAGGCTCAAAGTAACCACATATGATCAACGATGTTCAAATGATTCAATTAGACCAAAATTCATGAATTTCATTAGAGGATTGATAGAATCAAAGCCTCCTAACAATGAACTTCAAAGTTATTGGGCCACAAATGTTCACTTTTCAAATCGGGACAAATTTAGCGTTATGTTAAGCAATCGTAAGTGGACTTATATAGAAGTCACACCTATTTTGAGGTTGATCAATAGCAATCTATGTACCAACATGTTAGAGAAATTAAGTAGATCATTCTCCAAAAATATGTAGCAAAAGTAAAACAAGAAAGGGATAAGATGAAGAGGGAGGGGAATCATAATATAACCGATGTATCAGATGAAATTGGGGTTTCAAATATCATCAACATTATTCATCCATTTTGGTGGATTTTGTGTTTTAACCTATCAACGCCCAAGATCCAATGAGGTTGAGGAACTTGTCCGAAAATAACACCCAAGTACCTTCAAATTAGGACCAATCAAAAAAACAATAAAATATATTTAATATAAAACAAAAATTTAAATGATTTAAAAAGGAAATAATTGGTAAAATACACAACATTTACTAAAACACCAAATAAAAATCCTTAAAAAAATTCAAAGGTCAAACATGAGTCAACAAGTGTTGACAAAAAATTTCATAATTTTTTTAAAGTCAGAAACTATTTTTCAAAATTTAAAGAAATAAGCAAAATAAACCAATTTTTTTGAAAAATAGTAAAATCAAAAATAAAAATAAAATAAGGTCACCAATGTTTGACAAGAGGTCATTGGATCCTTCCATAATTTTTCCAGAATTTTAAAATCAAGAAAAGTATTTTTAAGCAATTAAAA